TCCCTAAAAGCTGAAGTCTTTAGTAAAATCTAATGGGTTTTTCTATTTATATGTTGCAAATCTGAGCAAATCATCTGGGCATCTATCACATAAACTGCTGAGAACTTTAATAAGTGCCTTACTACTACTTTCTTTTTTAAAGATTAATTTTCATAACATTTTTCAGCACAAAGAATACAAATAATACTGTGGTTTTAAGTGGAAAAATAAGTCAGTTGATGCAGAAGAGAGGTTAAAGTTTTTTGGTGGTTTGGTTTTTTTGGGGTTTTTTTGTTTTTTTTGTTTTTAATGAATAGAAGGACCTACGTTTCACTGGTATATTTGGAGTAGTTCATTATGGTAGTTACTAGAGCTCATGCAGAGACTAGCATGCAGAATATGGTTTGTCCATTAAGTAAAAAATACCACAATGTAGTGTAGTTCTGTGCTGAACAATATTTTACCTTTAATGAAATAGATTATCAGCTAAGAAATTTGGAACTGCCTAGTGACCTTTCATGTGAATCTCTTTCAGGCACCTTTTTGGGCATACATCCTGGGTGCATTAGGACTTTTTATCTACCAGTCTCTGGATGCCATTGATGGGAAGCAAGCCAGAAGAACAAACAGTAGTTCTCCTCTAGGAGAACTCTTTGATCATGGTTGCGACTCTATTTCCACAGGTAGCCTTAACCTACTGTTACTCATCCTACTTTTAAAAAAGTTCCCTGTTTTCAAGAGCAGCTGATTAATCACAGATTTGTTGAAGTTGGAAAGGACCTCTGGAGACCATCTAGTCCACCCTTCTGCTCAGAGCACAGGCAGCATGTTCCCTCCTCTTAGGGTAACTCCACCATCCCCTGGTCACTGCAGCCAAGGCTGCCCCTGACCTTTACATCTCTGACCAGTAGCAGGGAGGATATTTCAGAAGTACCTTCAGCAGATGTTGGGTAACGTGTTTTGCTCTTACTGTGTATCTTCCCGTACAATGTTCTTTGAATGAGCTAGGTGGTGAACAAAGGATTCTGTAAGAGCATGCTTAGAGATTCTTTACTGTATATAGCCTGCGTTTTCCAGTAAGGTATAGATGATGCTTAATAAAGGATTTTAAGTATCTAAAAGACTGATGCTGGCATGTGAAACTAAGAGTTCTGCTTTAGGAGTGAGATGCCAAAATAACAGTTTGATAATATGGCATCAGTCCTACCACTTAGGAGAAGGATAATTTACGTTCCTTAGAAGAATGAGTTTAAAAAAAAAGTTGATTTGGACTCCTTAAAAAGTAAGCCTTGCTCAGTTTTACTTTCTATAGCTTATCTGCTGCTGGTGGAAATGCCTGTCCTTCTATAAAAGCTTAATGGCTGAAACATTTGCCCTGGGAGTTGGTGTGTTCTTTACACCTCACTTCCCATAGAAGTGCAACTACCAGTCTCTTTGAGCTCGGCTCTTCAGTTGAAGCTGTCAGTGTCACAAAGAACATGAGATGACAAGGCCAGAAGAGAGAATGACCTGCTGAAGGCTAGAAGGCGGGGCCCTCACTTGGAAGGAATCCTGTGTTTTGGTGTCTCCTGACAGGACTGTCCCTGAGGTTAGCTACTCAGTAAAGTGTCAGTCATATCATTACTTTGTTACAGTGATGCAAAATGCCTTGTGATTTTTTTTTTATTTCTCTTAACTGCAAGCAAAGAGGACATATGACTAACATGTTCATTTCTGCTTTTCAGTTTTTGTTGTCCTTGGATCCTGCATAGCAATCCGACTAGGAACAAATCCTGACTGGTTGTTTTTCTGTTGTTTTGTGGGACTGTTCATGTTCTATTCTGCTCACTGGCAGACATATGTATCAGGCATACTAAGGTTTGGAAAGTAAGTAGGTATCTTTAGAAGTACATGTGGCTTAATGTCCGAGACTGCTAGCTACTTGATTTCCATTTCTTCTTGTTTTTTTTTCCCTGCTCTCTCTTCCTCTTACCTTCTTCCTTATCTCCCTTCCAGCCTAGCAGACTTGTGTTTTACTTGGCAAGAACTTTAAAACTCTGCACAATACTGAGTAGAAGATGAGTTCTTTTAGCAGCTGATTTTAGCTTTATATATATTTAACTGCATGCATTTGGCTCTTTGTCTGCAGATTTGTTCTCGGAACCCATAGAAGCACCATGCAGGCTCAGACCAGAGAAGTCTTGCCTGCAGTGTAAACAAATGCTCTGTGTAGCAGCAGAGACAGAGCAAGCATCTACAGTACCTCCCTTTGTAACCTCCCAGCCACAGAACAGTGGGACTCTGAACTACATGCATTTTTAGCGAAATTCCCCTGCTAATGGGTTTCCCTTCCATAGACGTCTTCAGTCTTCCTTTGAACTAACTCTGTGCATCCATTGCATCCTTTGGCGAGGACTTCCATGGAGCTATGGCAGTGCTTGCAGAATTACCCCAGGTTTATGTGGGGGCTTTGCTCTTAATCTTGCTCATACTGGCTTTGATGTCCTTTAGGTTTTGTTTAGGTCACAGTTCTAGAGATTGTTGTGATGCTGTTCATGACTTGGTAGAAATTTCACCTGTTCTCACTGCAGTGTAGGAGAAGGAGTCATGACATCAACATAGAAGATAACATTTTCAATTTAACTCCGAATAATGTGGGGATTGCTGCACCCTCCGGCAGCTGTGGTGGTGCCTAGCCATGGCCTTTTGCTGTTTTTAAAAATGAGCTGCACTTTAGTAACGATTTCTGAAAAGAGGAAAAGATCAGAGACTTCTGTAGCAGCAAAACTGGAAATATGTGATAGATGAAGGCTATCCTGCTGATCCTAGTCATGTGCTAAGCCACCTGTTTATAGTCCTAACTAGCTCCAACCTGCAAGAAGCACCTTAGCAAATATAAGCATCACTGGGCACACAGCCTAGTGATCATCTATCCTTGCATACTGTTTGATATCTGTATCAAAAGCAAGCTGTCTCTGTGGTAATGCTAAGAGCTCTTTTTTTATTTGCTGATAATGCATTTTACCACACAAACTATAACTCTTCTATCTGCCTACCCATTCTACTTTTTTAAAGGACATCTTTGTGCTGGACATAGATGCTTTAGAGTGATGGCTGAAATAGGATAATTTCCATAAGTGACAGTGGACTATACTGAAGGGAGATGGACTATGCCATGAGCTCTGGGGTTTTTCATACATGATTGCTTTTCTGTGCCTTTTGTTCTTGCATAAAATGTGAGAACTTTCAGGAAGGCACTGAGACTCCTACACCACATAAAGATATATTCATTAAAAATCTAATGGCTTCTACGTAAATATAGTGATAGTGCATAGTACAAGCAGTCTGGAATGGCCTGGTGTTCCATGCTTACTGTTTGAAGTTAAATAGACAGAACTTTTCTCCAAGATAACTTATTTCTGTTTAGTGAAAACAGGTCAGAGTTGTTTTCAAGGCTCGCAATTTTATTTCTCTTAAGCATAGAAGTGAGAGTCTAAATGCTAAATATGATAATACATAATAACATGGATGGAAGCATTCACTGATGCTATTCCTGAATTAGCAGCACTTGATTTGAGAGTGTCCTAGCGCTGATGGCCAGGAAGGATCAGAGCACCTGGGTGCTGTCAAGCTATGTAGAAGATCACCCAGTGTTTGATTAAATTCTTTTAACTGTTATTTGGGATGTGTTGCAACCAGCAGTCTGAGCCTCTCTAAAATTAAGTCCTAAACTTTGGCAAATACAATGACTCAGCTTCAAGCTTGAGCCACCTCCCACCACCAGCAACAGCGGGTGCAGTATACCTTAGAAATCTAGGTTTTAATACTATAGTGTATGAACTCTGAACACTTGTACTTGCATATGGATGCTTTTGCATGATGTAACTAAGCAGTTCAGTGTGCATCTACAGCAATGACTGGGCAGATGTAACACCTCATCCCTGGTAGAGAGGGGAAGCCCCCTCCCAGCAGCACTGCCCCGTTTCCCTGCTGCACAGACTCCGTCACTTGACTTCAAGCCAATTCATGAAGCGGGCAGAAGATTAAAAACCTACACTAGGCTAGCAAGCTGAATTGGTTCACCTTACAGTCTGATGAGCACTAGACCTAGTACAAGTGAGGGAGCACAATGGTGTAGGAAGAAGACTACCCATTGCAACAGCTTTCAACAGTGACAAGCAGCTCAGCTTATCATCTAGTTATTGCTTCATCTTTGGCTCTTCTAAGACTAAGAGTCTGAAGCTTGTGATGAAATTTAGCATATGTTATCACTATCTTTCTGATGAAAGAAGAGGGTTTAATGTTACTGTAATTATCAAGATCAGACTTTTTCCATTAGCCAAGAGTTGATTCCTGTTTCCCCTTAAAAATACACTGATTTCCTGTGCAAACAGTTCATGTGCTAAGCAAGTGATGATACATGTTTACTTTGGTCATAATACCTTAAAACCCAAAATTATTCTAACTGCTTAAAGAAATGTTCTGTTTTAAACATCAATTGTCAGTGTTTGCTGGTAACATCAGTACAAGGATCAGGTACCTGTCTCAAAGTGTTTGGTGGTATGAAGGGTACCTTAGATATGCACACTTATTTATTTTAAAGCTTTACTGAAAGTATCGATTCTTTCTCTTGAGCTTCTGCTTAACTTTTCTTATATATTCAGGTCTTCTCAAAATATTTCAGCAAATACAGCGAGACTGTATTTGTCTGAGAGCAAAAAAGGTGGAATGCAGAGTCTAGACTTTAAGGGGCATACAAGGCCACCTATTTGAAAAAAATGTTTTTATGGAAAAAAGCAAGATATCAATTATATGTCTTCTGAAACAGGACAGATGCTTAGCTATCCACTGAGTCAGTCCTCAAAGTACTGCCCTTCTGTTTTGCAGGCTGTATCTGTCAAGTTTTCATGCTATGATGGCTTAAAGAAATCCCTTCTATCCCAGCCTGCTCTTCATGGCCTATACTTTTATATGATAAGCTTTTAATTGAAATGTTTTATTGTATTTACTGTGAACTTGCCTTAAACTTTGATACTTGCACAGCAATAAGTCTGTAAATTTATACAAAATTCTGAAATAGTTAACAATGTAGTCATTAAATATTTCCCCCTATTAAAATTATATGTAGCTTGCTCTAAATAAGGAGTATAGGTTTAATTTTAAATCTTAACCAGAGATGTATCCCTCCATATACAGTATCTTTCTCAGTCAAGGAAAATCGTATTCTGTATACAAGGAGGTAATTTGAAGTACTTTTAAGGAGATAATTTATAGTCACTGTTTTTTGATTCCCAGCCTGCCTGCCTTACGCTTACAGCAAAGAGACCTCTTCTTTAACTAAATCTCCCATTTTTTTCCTTCACAGAGTTGATGTAACTGAAGTTCAGATAGCCATAACAATGCTGCTCTTGGTATCTGCATATGGTGGCCCAGCAATATGGGACCATAAGGTAAGTGTATTAAGTATCCAGAGTTCCTCTTGGATATTCAGTTCCTGTTTGCGTTCACAGTTCCTACAGTATTTGAAGTACAAGTACCATCAACATCTACTAGTTGTCTAACGTTCTGGTTTAGCTTATTGTACACATGTGGGTTATTTTTATGTTGTAGTTACCTTATGTATGCAGAAATTTAGAGCTACATAGAGGAAAAAAGACTCCATCTGCCACCTACAAACTTCTGATCTGGAACTAATACTCTGCAGATACTTAAGCTTTAACAAGTAGCTTTGGTTCTAGTTCTATTTCTTTAATATATTTTATTGTAAGACATACATTTCTGTTCAGTTAAATAATTTATAGGATACTTTATTTTAAAATTTAAAGATTATGTGCTTTAATCTAACAAAACCATGGGATGAAGTCAGGGGGTTTTTGGTTAAGTAATCCAGATTTACTTGCCAGTGGAGATGTACTGATTTTTAACAGTTATGTCAGAGCTGACATAACTGTAAATATCTATATTTAAAGAATCATTTTCTGTCCAAAACTATTTCCCTATCTCTGACTTTGATTCTGATCTTTAAAGGTGCACTTTAGTGGATGGGATCAAAAGTATGTTAGACTATTGTCTTCATCCTTTCTTGGGTCTTTACTCAGAAATGTGTAGTTCTGTTTGTTTATACTGCATGGAAGAGCTGAGACTATTCCATGCTATTGATAAGCAATGCAAATTAATTGAAATTAATTCACTAGTTTACTCAGCAATTAAGAAGTGTTTAGCTAAACTTTGTTTCCTTTCCCCATCCTGTAAGATGCTTTTGTTCTATTTTCAAACAGCTTATTTTCATGTTGGAAAATTAAGTAGGGGCATTAGACTTTATTATGATTTATTTTTTTTCAGTATTAAAATCTGTGGTAGTTATGCTGTATCTCAAAACAATCTATATTCAAAAATATAGTCAATGGTTTCAATTTATTATTACTTTTTTTTTTTTTAATCCTCTGCTGCCTGTGGAAGTTTCCTTGAAACTGCAATTGATTCTGAAAGGTAACTGTTTAATTAAAATTTGTATCTGGAGATTATTCTAAATGCAAAGATACAGCATACAAACAACATTTACCAAAAGACATAGCAGGCAGATGGTGTTTATATTTCCTGTGGTTCAGTATTGTGTTACCCAGTGAAATAGTAGGAACTATCCTTCTCCCCCTTCCCATGCCTTGGTGATTCAGTAGTCTGTGTCAAGTCTTTGCTTATGTAGTAAAAATATTTGAAGAACATTGTAAGGACAAACACAGTAGGATATAACTGAATTTCAAGACCAGAACTTAAGTACTCAAAAGTCGAGTTTAAACATCAAAGAAATTCATCATCTCCTTAGTGAGGAAATAAATTCCAAACACTGTCCTGCTGAGCTTGTTCTTGGGAAAGCAAGAGTTCAAATAAAACAATTGTTTATTAGACATCAGTAGCTTTTAAAATGACTTTTGAAAAAAGCTGTTATCCTTAACTTTTAATATCTTTCTCTTATTTTTCCTGCTAAGGTCCCTTTGGTGGACTTAGAACTGAAGTTCATTGCAGTTTTTGGCATACTGTGTGGAACAGCACTTTCTTCTTTCAATTACTTCCGTGTCATCTTTGGCGGAGGGGTTGGAAAAAATGGATCTACAATAGCAGTAAGTTGCTTTAAAAATATGAATGAGGCTTGAATAATTTATGTCTGTAATTTATTGCATTTCAGATGATCATAAGCATTATCTGTTTAAGCATTTAAGCAGACAAGCTGTGAGTGTTGGCCGGCTAAAGCAAAGACTTCATTGTCTACTTTCGCTCTACGTGTTACTGGATTCTTCTGTTATAGGAACCAGCAATGAATTTTCTTACAAAATTGATTAGTGGTCACTGCAAGGGATACTGATAGCATTGGCATAATGCTAGTGGACTTTCCCCCAGTTTTGACAGTTCTGTTTTTGTTTAATGGAATTTGCAATATGTATAAAATCTGGACCTTACTGTGTGACCGAAGCCTAAGACAAATTTTCTGTCCATTTGTATTTCAGGGAACAAGTGTTCTTTCACCAGGCCTGCACATTGGACTGCTTATCACATTAGCCATTATGATCTATAAGAAGTCTACAACTCAGCTGTTTGAAAAACATTCTTGCCTGTACGTCTTGACATTTGGATTTGTGAATGCTAAAATCTCACAGAAGTTGGTGGTAAGGAATCTTGTTTCACTCGTAAACCTCCTAAAACTAAACTGGTTCTTGGCTTAATGCTTGCTGGATCAGTGGGCACTGCATGAGTGTTCCTATTCTGCCCTGCCACTGTATAACTAGTTTCGCTGTGACCAAGACACTGAACTATCAGACACAGGCTTGTACAGAGAGATTATATATGACACTGATGCAAACACATACTTATTGTTGAATGTATTGGTTAGAACTTTCTAACTTACTGCTAGAAATTTACTCTCTGTCTTTAATGTAACTGTGGTCCCTCAAGCCTTACTAACAGTGCTGTGACTTCTGATTTAATTATCTGAAATAGGAATTTACTTTAATCATTAAAATGAAGAGAAACTTTTCTATCTTTTTCTCTTTTGTAATTAAAACCTTCATCAATGGATTAAAAGAAAAGGATTAAAAGAAAATAAAACCTGCCTTATTACATATTTGCTAACAACAGTAATCCAGCCAGCTGATTTTTTTCTTTTTTTCCGGCATGACATTTTCAAACACGAGGAAACAGGTAATCTACAGACTTTCTTGTTAAACAGCAGTCACCTAGTGAGCTACTGACTTGGTTCAAGAGAGAGAATGCTGATAAGCAGACTGAGCCTTAAGATTGAACTTGAGGCAGTCACCTATTTTGTCAAACACCTTGGCTCCTTCACTCACTCAGAGGACCCCTGGGTCCTTTTAACCAGCAGTCATGACTGTATGTTTGTCAAGTCAATCATGGGCACTTCTGAGCAAACCATGTTTCCCTTGATGCTTTATGTGTAGCTTTGAGGATAGTCTGGTCCAGAGGCAAATCTGTAAAGGTAGTGGGGAAAGGATTTCGTGGGTCTAGCTCTCACAGTTTTCTGATACTATTCCAGGAGGCCTTGTCGTGAGCAAACTGCAGTAAAAGCTAAGGGCACGACCAGGTGGGAGGCCCAGTGGAGGCACGAGCCAAGGTCTGTGCACTTTGTATGGATGTGCCAGAGCTGCTCCATGGGCACGAATCATGCATAGTTGTTGCACATCGCACCAGATGTGAACCAGGAATTGCTCCCTGCCTCAGATCCCCTGAGCAGGAGAGATGCATCCTTAGCTGGCTTAGAGTGGAAGCCTTTGTTAGCTCTCCTCTGGATGTAAGCCTTTGTGGTTTGTCCTGTTTTCAGACTAGGACACTCACAGGCTTTTCTGTGAATTTTGCTGTTCAGCATAGAGTTGAACATGATTTGTATTTTGCTAAGAGACCACTTTGTTCACAGGAACCCCTCAGTACTTTAATAATATTTGCCACGTATCCACGATGCATGGAAACAAGGAATGACATGGCAATTTCTTATGGCAAACTTGGCACCTAGACTACTTTCCTTCTGCCATTTTTGAGCTTCCTTATACGGACTCTTCATATGTCCTTTGTGTGGTCTCTGACTATTTACAAAAAACTCTTCTGCCTCTCAGTTAAAGGTCAGCTTAAGTTGTCTCTAAAAATGCTACATATAGAAGGATCAATGTGTGTGGGGGGAAGAGATTCCCTCCTCCCACTCATCTTTCTTCTTCTCTTGGTCATTCTGTACATCACTATCTCTGCTAAACAGTGAAAACAAGTCTCGTCACTTAAGCAAAAGCCTAGTTTCTAGCTGTCTTTTTGGCTAAGTAAAGCAAAAATTTTCAAGTTAGACTTGTAAACATTTTAAGTGAATAGTATTCGTTTTCAGTAATACACTTGCATAGTCTTACCCTTCAAATACAGCACTGAAAAAATAGAGTGGGGAACCCCTGCAAATAGCTAAAATGCACTGGTGTAGGTGTAATATATTACAAAAGAACATAATTGAAGGACATGTACAGGTTTTTTATTTAAAAGTCAAAACATACCAATTGATAATTCAGATAGCTGTTATCACTGATTAAAGTGCTATATATTGATTGATTACCCTGGAAGGAGATTACTTGCTCCTTGGGAAGGATACCATCAGGGAGCAGCAGGCCCTGAAGCATTTATGAAGCCCTTCGCCTGCCTCCTTGCTTCCTAAGAACTGGGGACAGCAGGCTGTTGCTGGGTAAGGATGTCATGTCCTTTCAACACTAAGGTGTAGGTTTTATGGTAGTTACATTGATCTTGTAGTGGTGCATTTTTGTCTCTTTTTTAATTTTTTTTTTTAAATTTATTTAACATAGGTGGCTCACATGACAAAAAGTGAAATCTGTCTTCAGGACACTGCATTTATTGGGCCAGGACTTCTGTTTTTGGACCAGTACTTCAACAGTTTTGTTGATGAATATATTGTTCTATGGATAGCATTGGTAAGCATTTTGTTTTATACTTTTCATTTGAAGCATACTTAAAGCAATGGATTGAGAACTGTCCCTGTCATTCTGCTCTGCCACTTCTGACTGGCTCAAATTTCAGCTGTCACTGCAGAAGGAGTGCCAGGATACCACATAAACATGTATTTTGGGAACTGGCTGTCTTTCTTTTGAGCAGAGATGTGAAAGTAAATTTACAGATCTCTCTTTTAATGATGCTTTAGTTCAGGTGATTTGTTTAAAGTTATTCTGCTAACTGCAGAGTAATAACATTTGTTTATCAGACTTTGGAAGTGTTTAATGCTGTTTGGTTTTTGTTTTTTTTTTTTTTTTCTTCTAAAATAGACTACTCTATACCTATATGTTAAAATACTTGTTAAAACTGTCACTTGGATAAATTGATTCAAGTGTAGATTAATTTATAGTAGGGACTATTTTTAAAAAATATTTGTTTTTTTGTAACCTGTTCTGTTTTGTTCTTTTGAAGTTCATATCGTTGTTTGATATGCTGAGATATGCCACTGGTGTATGCCTACAGATTGCTGCTCATCTTCATATACATGTCTTCAGAATTTCATCTCATCAAGCTTCTGAACAGGTTCAAAACCATAATGAGTGATTAAATAGGTCAAGAACAAGAGGAGAAGCAGTTAGGGGAATGCTGAATGAAGCAGCCTCTCTTTTTTGGGAAGACAGATTAAGTTTTTCAAGAAAATAGTTTTATGAGAAAGCTTACTCTATCCCAGATATTACCAGATGTTAGAATTACTAAATACAAAGTCCTGCAGATTCTATTGTGATCAATACTTTTGAACCAGGATGTATTTCCTCCTGTGTTCCAGTCATTTCAGCTGTTATTTCATATAATGAATACTGCATTTGAAACTTTTGCCGTTTCCTGTTGGGTAATGTTAATTCTGTACTTCTGGTTCGGTGAACGTAGACTGCAAACCAATGTGCTACCAACCAGAATTTTCCCTAGACCAAGTGACTAATTTAGCACTAGTTTCTGAAGTCGTCTTGGAACTGCTGTGAAGTGGTAGTCAGAGGTATCAATGAATACAGTACTGCATTATTAAGACTGGTAAAATGAGGCATCCGTGAGGAAAAACTACTCCTTAGTCTCTGTTCTGGTATTTCTAAAGAACAAGTTACTGGATCAGTAGGATGAAGGAGGTGTAGCTCAGGAAAATTTTCTTCTATTTCAAAATACTGTTACAAGTGCCTTTAGGATTCATGCATTCTCCAAGTATATAACCTACTGTTACTAAATACAATTGTAGTTTGTATTTTCTTTTAAGGTCAGTTTCTGGTTTTGTGGTCATAATAAGGTTTGCCTTCTTTGTACTCCATCATTATCTAGATTATAGGTAGTTGTGTACTTCAAGGACACTACCTACGCTAACTTGTATCTGTGAAACTGCACAAGTGAACGACAAAGTTCATTGATAAGCTTAAATGACTGTGACAGTTTGTGACAATACAACCCACCCGTATGTAATTCCCTCTGAAGTATGTTTGCTATCACTGTGTTCATCTACCTTATAATCTATCTAATTTGTCTTGTAACTATCACTGTACTTTATCCAAACAAAACTGCACGTAACTAAGCCCTACTGTATATTAAAACTCTCCAAACCAAAGTCGGGCCCACTATCAGCCTTTCTCTAAGAACAGACCCACCAGCTAACATAATGTGGGCTGCTGTTGTCATTAAAGAAAACTTTGAGCAAATCATGACTTGTAAACAAACCCTGTACCCCTCTACACAAGCTCATTTAAAGAGGTACTATTTGAATACAATTTTTGTAAAAAGCTGTTGAATGTGTCTGTAACTGCTTTCAGTTCCTGATATGTAGCTGAGCTGTGAGTTTATAAAGTCCTTCCTGAACTGTACAATAAAGAATGCTATGGTTTTTTTTAAAAAATATTACTACTGCAGCTGCCTAGCTGCACGTTAATTCAAAAAGTCTTCCTGAGGTGTTCAAGGAACTTTAAAAGTGGTGTATTGTCTGACAAATTTGGGAGGAATAAAATGCTATCTACCATGCCCCTGCCTAAGAAGGATATACTGATGCACTTGAGGGCTAACTGTAACAGTTACCGCCAAAGGACTAGCACTATAAGTGACTAAGACTAATTCCAAATGAATCGTACTACTCCTGTTTGAGGCTGGGAAAGACACAGCATCTACACGTGAACTTAGCCTGAACCCAGGCCATGGGCAAATAGAAGATGGTAAACACCAATTCAGTTTGTCTGAATACTGTAAACAAATTAACCACCTGATGGAAAGACATAGGCAACTTTTTTTAGAGTGAGGAGGTTTGATTCCCCAGAATTCTCAAAAATGTGTCATGTAGTAGGTACAAATAGTTTTAAGGATATGATTGAGGTATGTGGAGAATAGGAAAATGCAGAAATCAGTCAGAAAACCAGAAACATGAGGCAATACTAACAAATAAAACCAGAAACATGAGGCAATACTAACAAATAACTTAGTATTGAAGATAGGAAGCAAAACCTGTTAACTGTATTTCAGAGCATCATCTAATTGTTCTTAGAGGGCAGAGACTCAGCAGCAGTTACAAATTAGCACAGTTACCTGTTACCCACCAAGGCCCACACTGCCTCATACATCATTCTAGCAATGCAACTTCTGTGTTTGCTCTTTCCCCGAGTCCTAGCGGATGCAGAACAAAAAGAGCTGTATATCAGTTGCTCATTCAACTTCAGTTGCAATCTAGTACCTGAAGTTTCTGCAAGTTAGCCATCACTAATCTGGCTCCCAGAACTGGAGAACCATCATAAAATGACTTGATTCTGAACTAAAAATGCTAGTAAACTGAGGAAAATAATCTGTATGGACTAATTTTGAAATACATTGCTATGAAAAAAATCACATTTGTGTGTGTGTGTGCGTGTGTGTGTATGGTTTTTGCTTTATCTACCATTGTATTAAATTTTAGCATTAAACATGTTAGGAACTACCTCATTGGTAAAAATGGATATTCAGGCGTAACCGTTTTCTGTAAAAACAAACTGCATGCAAGCTAAGCAGATTTTTTAATTTATACTGATTTACTGTAATGAGACACGTGAAAGATAAATGCTTTATCCTTAAAACTTAGGCCTCCCTAAATTGCTAGTAATTTGGAATAGCAAAAAGTAATATTCCATCTCAAAGGCTTGTAAAAACTTGTACTAAATAAATGAGCTAGATTACTTCTAGCAGTGGTTCTACAAGAATTAAATACCCCAAAATGCATAATGTTTAATTATGCTTACTTGTCATAAAAAGCTGCGATACTCAGCTCATCATTCAAGTAAAGAAGCCTGCTTTTGGGACAAATTACAGCCATTCATAAACCTCTTACTAGTACAAAGATATTACAATGCCTAGTCTAACCAAAAGAGTTAACAAAATTTACTTCAATTTACTTTAATACACATTAAACAATCTTACATGAGCTATGTAATACTCTGTGAACTTTTATAACCACTGATATGTCAGCAGACTAAATGCTGAAACTATATAAATCCTGAAGTCTGCAGCTTGTGAAAAAATGCTTCTATTTGCACAATGCACCTAAAGGCCTAAAGTTATTAGGTAAATCTGGGTGATGCATTTTTCATTAATTCTGCCCGTCGTTACAATTTGGTATTATAAGAAGTGGTACAATTTAAACAGTCCAGTGCTATTGAAAGTGAGTATTAAGTAGTGAAAGAGTAATTGGACAGACAGTAAATGGTTTGGGGTCTGTACCACCCTCCCAAGTAAGAAATTTACTAACAGATGTTCTTACAACATTATCAGATCAGACACAAGATTAGAACAATCCATCAAAGTGTTTAATAGGAACTTTAAAACATTTAAATCTTAACATACTTCTCTATGGCTAATGCCTATACTTGTATCATGTCACTTAGGTACAAGTTGTTTCTCCATTGAGCCATCAGAATAACATGGACTGAAGAGACTTGCGAACAGCTGCCATCTCCTGCTGTTGCTGTTACAAGGAAAGGAGATAATACTGAACAAATGCCATATCAATATGATTCCTTTGAGTTAATTAAATGAATGTCAAATGACTTTTTTATAGAATGTTCCATTTTTGCATTTAACTGACTTCTTCTTAGATCTGATACTTACTGTGTCCATCATAATCTTCTTCTGCAACATAGCCATTTCTTTGCGAAGTTCACTTTGTGCACCAGCTAGAAGATTCTCATTGCTCTTCTCCAGTTCTTCCATGCTCTGAAGTTAAGGATAATCTTAATTCGGAACGGTTCAGTGTCAAAGGGTAAATTTAAAACAAACCAACCAACCATTATTCAGACTACAGTTTAATCTTTACAGCAGCACTGGTCACTGATAATTGATGAGTCACGAACTTGACAGACAAATCATACAGGGCTTCATACTCCAGTCCTACATTCCTGTTTAAACAATACGGACCCCGTGAAACAATATAGACCTCCTGAAGAGATCAGTTTCCTCCACTCAGCATCTGTGAGGTCTCAGCTAGTTATCCTGCATTTCAGTAAGGATAAAGAGTTCTACAAGAACAAATCAAGCAGACATCTGTCAGGAATGATAGGGGTTTAATATTATGGCAACCTTGGAGACTTAAAGTAAGGATTATAAAACCCATTAAATTTCTTTCTCTTTGCACACTTCTCCCCAGATAAGCCAAGTAAAATTGGCTGGTTATCCTCCCTTTTGAACATACAGTTATGCCTAACTCTGTGTATGTGCGTAGTTGCATTTTCCTTGACTTGTATTTAGTTAAGCTTATTTGAGGCTTGATTTCTACCTTTTGATCTCCTTTGAGGAGAAAAAAAGTCAAGGTAATATTTGACCTTCTGTTCAGCTTTTCATTTTTGATGAAGGTATTTTTGACTTTTTGGAACAGTTATTATTTATTAATGCTTCTGTAATATCCTCTGTAATTTTTTACTATCTTAAACTAAGAGTTGCTGTGCTGTATTTCATATTTATTTTTTTAAGCTACCAGACTTGAAAAAAAAAAAACCCAACAAACTCCTATCATAACTAACTGAAATTTCAAAAAGAGACCAGTTAGGAAATGACTTGAAGATAAATTGTCAGAAACTGACAGACTTGAATCTGCCCCATGTACCAGTATATATCTGGGGGTCACACAGCTGGAAAGCAGTTTGGCAGAAAAGAACCTGGGCATCCTGGTGGACACCACACTGAACATAAGCCAGCAGTGTGCCATTGCAGGAAAGGTGGATGCAATGTGTATGCATGTATAGAGAGAACAAGCCATGTTCTCAACAAATAAGGGAAAGATACTAATATCAATATTAATGCAAGGCTGTTGTTTTCCTTAAATGGACATTAAATCTCTGTATTTCATAAAGGTTGAATTAATACAGCTTTCTTAAGTGATATAAGGATCAGCTGCCTTCTAAGATGAAAATTTACTTTACCTTTAAGAACTGCTCATAGAGTTGCTTAATGGTTTTCAGTCTCTGAGTCTGAACTATTCTTGCCTGTTGGAAAACTTTTTGTTGCTGACGAAGCATATTCTGAAGCAGAAGCAAAAGAAAAAATAATCCCCTTAGTTAAACAAAAGTGCTTGGACAGCAACACTAATGTCATTTATTAGACTAAGAAATTCTGCCTTCACTGGAAATCTGCATCATGTAATGTAGATGTATGCCTTTAGAGTAATCCGTGTTCTGAATAATGAAAGAAAGACTGAAGACTGGATTAAGCCCTGAGTCAC